TACGTGAGGGGAAGTGGGGTTCAAAACAGGCGAAAACTCCCTTACGTAATATATGGACAGCCCCTTACCACGTAGAGATTACTGCAAGCGAAAATTTTTTCTGAATGGTATCTAGTTATCTATATAACTACAACGAAAACGTTCCGCGAGATGAGCAAAATAAATAAAAGCTTTCAAAATTTGGGTAAGTCTAAAGCCAGTGCAGGTAAACGTAATACTTTATTTGATAATTGATAATAGTTGCACAATTTTTAAGGCAGGTATCGCTAATGCGCAGGTACATTGCATGCAATTATCGGAGCAGTTTCTTTATAAATATTAAAAATAATGCCGCCGATGCGCATTTTGGGGTAGGTATCGTAAAGGTGCACTTAGCCATAAAGGCAGCCTAATGTACTGTATTTGCGTATACGTGGTTATGTTTAATAGGACACTAAGGGCCGGTTGCTCAAAGCCTGGTTGACACTAATCCCCGGTTACACATCCTTATCGACGTTACCGATACCGTGTTATATGCATGAAGTCGAAAACGTCGATAACGATGTTAACCGATGATTAGTGTTAACCAGGCTTTGAGCAACCGGCTGTTTAACTTTTACATTTCAAAGCTCCCCCAACCACCAGAGGGAGTCTCGATTGTCTCCTATGCCGACGATTGCTCGATCATGGCGACTGGGAATGGAATTGATGACCTGTGTTCGAAAGTAAACGGCTATCTCTCCGAACTTTCTCGCTTCTTCACTGCAAAGTGTCTAGCCCTCTCCCCTACGAAATCCTCCGCGACCCTGTTCACAACCTGGACGAAGGAGGTCAGGCTACCGCTGGGGATTCACGTCGATGACACACCAATTCCGACGGTGAATAACCCCAAAATACTCGGAGTAACATTCGACAGCCTGCTCTCCTTCTCTGCGCACTCAACCGCTATTGTCAATAAAGTACAGAGCCGCAACAAGGTCCTCAAGTCGCTAGCCGGCAGTACTTGGGGCAAAGACAAAGAAACGTTGCTGGCAACATACAAGGCAATAGGCCGGCCGGTTTTGAACTACGCAGCGCCAGTGTGGGCGCCAGGGACTAGTAGGACGCAGTGGACGAAGCTACAGACTGTACAAAACACCGCACTCAGGACAGCGACGGGATGCCTCTTGATGTCGCCTGAACACCACCTGCACGGCGAGGCGCAAATGCTACCTGTAAAGGAGCATAATATAATGCTCTGCAAGCAGTTCCTGATCGGGAGCCACAGAAGTGGCCACCCAAGCAGACAGCTGCTTGCAGAGGAGCCCTCGCCTAGGCACGTCAGGAGGCATCTATATAAACTAACGGACGAAGTCCAGAGGTTCATTAAGCAACCTCTGGACCCGACAGCTTACAGACAGGCCCTGAACGGCATTCACAGGGACTCAGTCTCGAGTTATGTAGACTCTAGACCTGTGAATGCCGTTCTAGGCACACCACCCCCGGACATTGACGAGACGGAGCTTCATCTGCCTCGGGAGACACGCACAACACTCGCACAACTTCGCTCCGGCTACTGCAGCAGGTTGAACTCCTACTTGAGTAGGTTGAATGAGGATGTGCCGAATGAGTGTCCGGCAGAGAGACCCCACATGACTCGAAACATCTCTTCGCATGCCCGGAAAACCCGACAACCGTAACGGCCTTGTCCCTGTGGACAAACCCCACAGAAGCTGCACGCTTCCTAGGGTTGCCGTTAGTGGAACTTGACGACAACGACTGAGATACCAACCGATCTGGGCGGGGTTGTTGTAGCCGCTACAACAACAACAACAACAACCGGCCCTAAGCCATTAATATCACCGCTGACGAAGGGTGCATTCCAAAACGTCAAAATACAAAGCATCAGTATCTTTTATCTCTAAGCCTCAGTAGATTGTAATGCCAAATGTGCGCAATCACGGTTAGATGCTAGTTCTCAACTAGGTTGCGCAAGCTAGAATTTTTATTCTAGTGCAGTTTAGAAATAAAAGAGACTGACGCTTTGTTTTGGAATGCACCCACACTGTTTTGTGTGTTTGAAGAACACGCCTTAGCATAGGGGCAGAAAACAGTAAAACCAAATAACAAATATTAAAACTCAAAATTTAAATTTTCGTCAAATCGCACGATTAATCTTTAATACAAACATTTAAATTAAATATAAATGTGACATGAATATTAAATATTATAAAATATGCAGTAATTCAAACTTTATGTAAAATATTTATTAAAGTATACAAACTAAATTAGGAAATGTTTTTAGGAAAAAATAACTTTAAGGTATGGTACATTTGCATACGGTTTAAGTATATTAAAGGTAAACATTAGGTAAATGGCTACAACTACGAGTACTTAAGATCGCAGTTTTGAATTTTTCTTCAGCTCAGTTATGCAAAACAAAAGATATATCAATTATTATACATGTATTGAACTTAACTTAGGATGCTGGTTTCTAATAACAATTTACAAAGAATGATATAAGTTTACAATTTGAGTTTTGATTACATTATTCTACATGCAGGTTACACTTTAACCCAAGTAATATTTATAATACATACATACTTACATGCGTGTAGCATGGGCTGTGTGTATTAAATGTTAATTTTCATGTAAGTAGGCAATTTCATTCTTAAGGAGATTGTAAATGTTTCGACTAAGCGAAACCTTAATTTCAAAATGATCTTAAACGAACAAACAAAAACTTATTTAATATTTTAAAATTATACAATTACAATATTTTACATTGATTTGCAGCTAAAAGTGTTTGTAGGCAGTAAGCTGCGCAGAAACCGACTTATTCGCAAAAAAAAACGGTCTTTCACTTATAACGGGTGATTTTTTTGAGGTTAGGATTTTCATGCATTAGTATTTGACAGATCACGTGGGATTTCAGACATGGTGTCAAAGAGAAAGATGCTCAGTATGCTTTGAAATTTCATCATGAATAGACTTACTAACGAGCAACGCTTGCAAATCATTGAATTTTATTACCAAAATCAGTGTTCGGTTCGAAATGTGTTTCGCGCGTCCGATTTATGGTCTACATAATCGACCAAGTGAGCAAACAATTAATGCGATTGTGACCAAGTTTCGCACTCAGTTTACTTTATTGGACATTAAACCAACCACCAAGACCATTAAACCAAGAGAATATTGCGTCTGTTTCTGAGAGTGTTGCTGAAGACCGTGAAATGTCGATTCGTCGCCGTTCGCAGCAATTGGGTTTGCGAAACACATTTCGAACCGAACACTGATTTTGGTAATAAAATTCAATGATTTGCAAGCGTTGCTCGTTAGTAAGTCTATTCATGATGAAATTTCAAAGCATACTGAGCATCTTTCTCTTTGACACCATGTCTGAAATCCCACGTGATCTGTCAAATACTAATGCATGAAAATCCTAACCTCAAAAAAATCACCCGTTACTTGATATGTGTATGAAAATTAACTGAAATTATTTAAAATTAGATTGCTTTATATGGAATCTTGTATTATTGAATAATAAGGATTAAAATTTAAAACAAAAGAGGTTTACTTAGCGGCATTACCATAGCTTACACATGAATCACAAAAGAAATTAAAGTATATAGCAAAGTGTGTGATATGAACTTTAACAGGCCTTGCGTTGTGGAATTTACAAAAAATATGTAGTCGACACTTAATTTAGTACATTAATTCAATAATTTCTTGGGCAGTTGAAAGTGCTAATTTTAATTTCAATAATTTTACTCTACGCCACCATGCACGTGACTCGCTTAATACAGCAGTTGGAGCATTTTGGGTTCGAATTTCAGAATTGCTATCGACTTCCTGAAATGGTACGTTTTTAATTATACTCTAAATTTTTACTTTAAACTAAACCTCATATTTTTTCTAGGTTATGTTATATTTAATATGCGAGTAAAAAGTGTACTTGTATGTATGTAGCTCATATTTTCGTGATAAAGTTTTTTTCTGAGCTGCCAACGTTCACCAATACATACTGTACAAAAAAAAAAAACGTTTTAAATGAGTTTATGTTCAAATGTTTGTATCATGTAGTCACCCGTTTGTTTAATTTACATCATTTAAAATACAACTTTGTTTTAGAAAAGATTAGCGAAGTTGCCACTTGCGCCGTCCACTGTTTTTGGTCATTTAAAATTCTTAGAATTGCTATGCATTTACTTTTAATTTTCCTAAATTTAAATATATATACTGATATTTTTGAGAAGGTATCAATATCCGGGCGTACACATGTTTTACAACTTAGTTTTGTTTTTTATTATTTATTGTATCATTGCCAAGCGCTTTGTTTTCTATCAATAAAAGATTTTTCAATTGACATTACGACTGATAAGCAGAAATATAGGAGTTCCTTAAACTTTTATGGGCTGCTAAGAGTCTTTATCTTATTTTTTTAACACCTACATACATGCTTCCAATTTCCAAAAAAAAAAAAAAAAGCATTTGAAGTACGTCAGGCTAAAAAGAAATGAAATAAAACTAGAAAGCGCCTGACGGAATTCGAACCCGGCACCTTCTGGAAGCTAACAAATAGCGGCACACTCTGCACGCTCAGCCACTACCGAATACGCATGCATGCTTTCAAATGTTTAGCTTGAGCAAATAAAATACAATTGTTGCTCTCAAATGACATCATCTTTTTCGAACGTTTCGAATGTTTCCCGGATACGAAAATTTATGATTACTGATGCTGGCTGGGTAGCGTTACAAATTACAAATACATATGCACAAATCATAAATATTCTTTGAAAGTATATTAGCTCAAACTTTCTCATTTGCCATAAAACACCATAAAACCTTTCTAAGCACATATTAAGCGTATGGAGAGGAAAACTTTACTAAGACTTTTTATAGCAAATCACTGCAAAATATTGTTTCAACTTTTGCCAAACTGTGAAAATATCAATAATTTCATATTTAGAATTAGTACGCGTTTAAAAAAGGTGGATTTTCCACCTTGTGCATATGTAAGCAATAACAAGGTTTCGATGGAGTTTTTTTTTTTAAATAAAGCATTTTAAGCTCTTATATCGCCAAAAGTCAAGGTTGGCCACATACGGTGGCGAAATAGGCTGCGTGTTTACGAAGCAAGTTTGAAATTAGTATCATTTCCGTTTAATTTATAGGTATTTTCACTGATTCTTGTTTTTATATGCAGCCAAATAGGGACATTTAAAAATAAAAAAGTGATTTCTAACTTATTTCCATTTGCATTTATGGCTAAGTTTTATTTTTGGTAAACATTTAAAACTATCACCCCTTTTACGAGTGTCGACTAGTAGTAGATAAGCGACTATTAGTCGATTATCGATTATTCATGGAATTTTCAATGTCGTTTCCTCGTTCAATAAGTGACAAACCGTTACAAAAGTATGAGCGACTAAAAACTATTCACAGTCGCTTGTTGAACGTGAAATCGACATTCACAATACCATGGAAAAGAGATAATCGACTAATAGTCGTTTATCTAATACTAGTCGACACTCGCAGTAGGGGTGTATAACTAAACTCATTTTTTACAATTTTGATAATTTACTTAATGCTTTTAATTCAAACCAGCTAATTTTCTTCATACAAACAGCAGCTAAGATCGATTGGTTGATTCGATTAAAACAGAATTATATGAGTTGCTTAATGCTAAGCTTTTAATAAAAAAAATATATATATACCTTTTATATCGGCAATTCATAATCAATAGACCCTACGATGGCTGTGCATTTAAGTGGCGTAAGATTGTTACGAAAACACATACAAATGTATGATCAAGAACAATGTAATATATATGTACAAAAGTAAGTATTCGTTGTATGGATGTGGGCTTGTTGTATCTGCTGTAAATATGCGCTTAGTATTAGGCTGCGATAGGGCTAAGATTAGCTTACGTTAAGTAAAAATAATTGTATTTCAATTATATGACGTTGATGGTGTTCATTAACCCGATTGTAAACTAAAAAATATACAAATATATATAGGCGAGCATGAAAGTTTTGCTAAATTCACTAGCAGTTTTCTATTTAGTGAATGGCTGACTGTTCCTGATATACATACAAAGCAATTTTCTATGTTTTTTAAGTATGGTTTACTTGTGCTTTGTTGGCAAACGCTATTAAAGTTCTCATTCGAAAGTATGTATGTGCTAAGTATGTATTTTTCATTAAAGTTGATAATTTTTTCTGATGAGGTTAAATTTTGTTATTAACTCTGCTAACTTATTTTATTTCGTAAAATATTTACATGTTGTTAAACTGTTAAATCAATTTATTATTGTTACGTCTCACAGGTGTTGCCTAAATACATATGTAAGTAATTTAAAAAATTATTTTATTTCATTTTATTCTTTAACTAGACTCAAGCATAAACTAATTCAATTGACACAAAAAAATATCATTTCACATAATTAAATTAAAATACTCTTCCTCTGCCCTTCTCACTGTTCAACTGTATCCGCTAAGGTTGTCCAAAAAATACTATTTATTCTTAATATTCGTTCATTATATTGTAATTATATGTACGTATGTCTGTGTGTGTATTATATACCTCTGAGAAAAGCTAAACAGCCAATTTAAGTTTAAAGTACTTGTTATGGAAAATCAATACATTCGATTTGCTTATCTAATACGATAATGTGCGCCTTTTATCCAGTTAGAGCAGTAAGCACTAAAATCAGCTTTTTCCTACAGCAAAATTCCATGTAACGCATATGTAATATTAATGTACTAAGTATTTATTATTTCCAATTTAATTTAGGTACCGCCATTTCTTATTTATTACATAATTTAATTAATATTCAATGTTTTTCTACATAAATTCTCTTAAATTTTTCATCAGTAATTTACTTAGTTTTGCTCTTTTTTTGGGATTTACTCTAACCCTTTTTTTCATATTTTTGTTTTTGTGATTTTTCTTATTTGTTGTTTTATCATATAAACAGTCTCCTTTGTTATATATATTTTATCCTTATTACCATAATTCTTATTTATGTATTTATATAATAATGCATTCATATTGTTGCAATTTCTATCACGACTTTAAATTGTTTTTGTAAATGTAATATATGTTTGTTTTTGTTGGTTTAAGTATTTAAGTATTCCCTTGTGAAATTGTGTGTATTTGATTTGCTTTGATTTGCATTCATTCAATTGATTATTACAATTTTAAGTAAAAAGTGATTTTTATTTGTATTTGCGTATTTTTTCTGCTTCTAATTTAAACTAGTTAGTTGGGGTTTGAGTGTCTGTCTGTAGACTCTGTTGTATACTTGGCTGGGTTTTTGTTTGGACTGCACTGCGCGTATAATTCTTATCATACAACAACAGCACTTTTAGCTGCACTTAATATGTATATGTACTATAGACGGCGCGTTTTTGCTGTTGCTGCGTCTGTTTATGACGTCAATGGTGACATACCGATTTGACGTGGATCTGTTGGTGCAACAGCACCCAGCTCCAAGTTTTTAATGAGCAAATGCAGCCAGTGTTTTGTGGATTTGTCATCCTGTAGACATACAGAGAATGTCGCATCACGCAGCTGGTCTGGAAGACATTGTCGCAAAGCCTCACGTGCTCTAAAAATACAGTAAACATATTTGAATATATTTTCTTGTGATTAACTTAAAAATTAACTTCCACAAGTCTCTAACTCACCTGGGATTGTCGGAAAGACGTAAATAACAACGTACGACATGCTTCAGCAGGCGTGCAGAGGGCTCCTTGGCAAGTTGTATTACCATTTTGCCCTGAAATCATAAATGAATATACTAGCATATTATTCTCTCTTACAAGACCATAATATGTGTTTCTTACCAAAATAATAGCAACATGCGAAAACCGTTCATACGTTTGACAAATATACGAGAGACCACTCTCGTCCAACAATATTTTTTGCAGAATAAATGTTGCTACTGTTTTGCTCAATTCTGAGCCAGTTTCCATTATTCGCAGACACAGTGGAATGATTTCAGTTGCTAAAAGGAAAGTTATCACTTCTTGTTCATCAGCCTGCAGAATAGGAAGTGTAAAAACAACATTAAGTAACTCTAGCAATGCATTTGATTTGCTCGCCAGCCACGACTTACCTTAACTAGTGCGCCAATAACACCTAGACTGGTTAGCCTAAGGTATTCGAATGGCCGTGTTTTGGATGTGGTTTGTAAAAATGGATACAGGAACAATGGTATTTGTGCCTGCAGGAACACTGTACGCGTATCCGGATGCGACGCAACACATTGCAGCAGCGATAACGCGCTGCAGACACGATTTGATTGATGCGCAGTGAGTGTGGCAGGATTAATCGATGGATAAATGTTAATTATCTCCTGGAGTAGGGCGGCGGTGGTGCCAAAGCTATGCCATAGCATGGGCGCGAGATCTGTCACTGTTTCACGTTTCTTACTCAATTCAAGCAAAGCGGTTTCGCGGCTCTCCGGATGAGCCAATTCGTTGATCCATTGAAATACCTGTAAATAAAGGGGAATAAAAATAGCAAAATTTAGTTTTAGTACACATATATACTCGTCTATACTGTAGTGATTAGATAAATGTTAAAATTATTATAAATTAGAGAGTTCGCATTAGTTTCGATACAAGTTTCCATCAAGCCATATGATTTGGTGAATATCATACTGAGGTGTTAGAGATTTGGACCCATTTTTCTAAATCACTGCACCATGCCCTAGGGAAAAGATTGTACGGAACATTTTTAGTGTTAAATAACAGCATTACAAAGACAATACACATTCATAATAAGAATTCAATGTCGATTGCATCGTACTTGCATACATTGCTCGCAAAATGTAGCAAAAATAGCTGCTTATTGTCATCTTATGCGGAAATTAAAAAGGATTTTAGCACGAAATTTGTACATAACACGAAGCATGGTAAAACGAGCAATTCTGCATCATTTGCTCAAAAATTTCGTTTTTGAGTAATGACAGTCTTTTAGTAAATGACCGATGTGTGCATAGTATCTGATTCGAAAATATGCTCGTTAGTCATTATAAAGACTCGTTTTTGAGAATTGACAAACTTCTTATTTTGAATTCAACCAAAATACAGCACGCACAAAATAATTGATTTGAGCGCATACACTCTTAACGAATTGTTGAATTGTTTTTTTAGCACCATAATATTATCCGAAAACAAAATTCAAGCATTCCATACATATGTGCATGAGTGCGTGTTACTTGTTTATGAGTTAAATTGTGTGAATCATGCGACGTCAAGTCCAGAAAAATAAAAATAAACTATAACTATAAACAAGTTAGCTGATTATAGCATGGTGGCAGCAACAGCGGGTATACATACTTCTAACTCAACGATAAGAAGAAGAAAACAAGTTAGTGAAATTACGCACCAAACCACAGAAATAGAAACATATTTACTACCTTTCAGAAAGTCATAAATAAGGTTTGAATGTAATAAATTTGGAGATGTTTACGGTTTTTAGATGGGTGCAACGCGAGTCGAATCAGGCAGTTCTGCGGGTAAATTGAGCACAAACCAACGCCGCCTCCAAACGGCAATTGGTTTTTTATGAGAAGCTCTTCATTTCAGACACATATAGTTAGTATATGTAGTATGGAAAGTGCACATCGTCGCTGAAATGAAAACCTAAAATTTTTTATTGGATAAAATGATGTGGGGTCTTATAATTCGATGAGATGCATCATACTCAATAAAAAGTTAATTTTGGATTTTTAGTTAGTTACGGTTTTTGTATTGCAGCGACGATGTGAGTTACGCCCTTTCCGTACTATACTAACGATATGTATGAATCAAATCAATTAAATATACATTAGACTGCATCATGGGCTACACTTTTTTCATAAAAATGACCTAAGAAGGTAGCAAACTTTCAAAAAATCGTCATACAAATTTGCTACTTTTTAAACGGAAAATATGGAAGAAAACTTGCAACACCCTCGAAAAAACCTAAAAAAATAAACTGTAATTTTTAAACAATTGAAAGTTACAAATTTGGTTGGACTACAAAACTGCATTCGGAATTTTTTTTAAAATCGGGATAAAAAGTTTAAAATTTTCTCTCGGGTTGTTACGCTCTCGAATTTGCTCTCTCTTGCAAATATTTTGGATTATTGAATGCATTTCCAGTAAAAACTTGCCAGCACTAGTAACAATTCGTTACAATTTTTTTATATTGAATGGACCTAATATAAAGTGTGCCAGCTAGCAATGAGATTCTATTTCGGTACACTTATTTGGTAATTTATTATCATAATTTTTTCTTTCGTTTGACACCCTTTTGAGTGAGAACTTATGAAGTTTTTTGCTTTAAGAAAAAATAAATAAAAAAAAAACAAGTCAAGAAATTCTTGCCGCATGTGCAAAAGCACACATAACTTTGCAGTACTGATGTTTTCATTCTCTCATGATGAGGACCTAAGCCAAAGGTTAATGTCAGAATTGTAAAAAGCGAAAATGACAAACTCAAATTTTTCGTTAGATATTGGGATTTAATTTAATAAAAAATTAATAAACATTAAATAAACAAAAGAAATGGTCAAAACTCCTATTATTTTGTTTACAACTGTATATGTGCTAGAACATTCCATATTCCGAAATCCCGGATTACAGCTCCGGGATCCCGATATTTTTACCGATTCATTTACGGAATGAAAGAGATGTTGAAAACGAAAAGAAGAATTCATTTGACATGAAACACGAGAAATACAGAACACCAAAATTTGGATTCAAAGTGAACTTGAGAAATTTGCACATGGAAGTGAATTTCAGGATCTGTCTGAATAATTGTACTTGTTCAAATATTTTGTGCAAGAACCGTGTAATAACGAAAAATCTGGTAGCAATTGAAAACACAACAAGCTTTTACAATGTGGCAGAGTTGTTCTTCATTTTACTTTGTTGGCCTTTTTTGGAAAAGGATTTCGGCAAATATGAGTACATGGGTTTGACAAATAATATAAATATTTTAGAATACAAATATTTAAACATCAAATTACGTGCTCTTTTACTAAGGGGCATTATGCTCCCCTAAGACCAAATGTGGTGACAATGAATCTGTGTGGTTTGAAAAAGGCGAACCTCTTGTAAAATGCGAAAAGTTGTGATGAAGTCGAAATCCCGAAAAATATCGGGATCCCGGGTTTAGAATTTTTGAATTCCGAAATCCCGGGATGCCCGAAATGCTTCGGGATTGCATGCCCTATTATGTACTACGTATGTTTTAATGCGATAACACCCAAAGGTTTATGTATTTACGCGAATTTATTTAGAACGCAATTTATTACCTGTATCCATGTGCCTACATGAGTGCACGTACACATATGTATGCACATTTAAACGTTCATTTGTGCATGTTAGGCAAGTTCAAAATAAAATAAAAATAACAAAAATGTTTGCTGCCTGTTATTGGTAAACAAAATCTGACTGCTAGCCTTTCATTTTTTTTGCAAATCTCACTGTAATTTCATGCAGAATTTAGGTGTTTCAATTTTGTTTGTCAAAAAGAGGCGCATTTCTTGATGATCTTAAAGCGGGTATCGTACTTGGAATATTGAAATTGTCCGCTGAATAACAGCGAAAGAATATTCTTATTATTATTATAGTCGTTTAAGTCACAATTTATGTTTAAAAAAGCATGAAATAATTTTCAATGTACTACATATGTAGAGTATGAGGAATGTCGGCATGTGGCCATTCAAACATTCTGAAAAGGGTTTTCTTGATAAGGCAATCAAGTTTCTTGTTTCTCGGGTAGCTTTTTGCATTTTTTGTGTCAAATAATCTAATGCCGTCTGATTCCGAAGCACTGAGGTCGATTGTTTCTCCGACCAAAGAATTCAATATCTATTGAAAGCAAACATTGAAATAAAGAGCAAACATCCTTAACTAATAGCACCTTAGCTAAGCATGTGGTACGGCCTGTGCATCATTAGGGGTATTAAATCAGCGGATGATAAAGTCTGTGGTTTGCGGTGCATTTATAGATGTAACCTTACAACTATTCCGCGTGTTGCAGTTAATTTTTTAGCATTTTGAAATTTCTCCATCTACTGAAATGCTTGGCTTGCTTTGTTTAATTTTTTAAACGTCAAAAACACGATTTTTTTTAATTAGTACCACAAAAAATATGACACATATGATTTCTTCCAGATATGTAGCTAACATGGCGGATAAGACGTGAACTACCTTCTAAAAGTAATTGTATCATGGAATTGAGGTTTTGAAAATGTTACAACGGCATTAATCGTAGCTTTTTTATTGCGGGAAGAAAAGATTTGTAGCTTTCGTTTTTTAGGAATAAATGCTATATTTACATATTATTAGGGATGTTAATTTCTTCGAATTTTACTATCCCGGGATTTAGATATTCATCATTTTTCAACTACTTAACACGAAAAAATTGCTTCAATATTATTTGAGAAGCTCTCTTACGATATAATAAATAATAAATAAATGGGTTTGAAACCCATTTATATTTGATTTATAGTGAAAATTATTCCATAAGTAACAAAACAAAAGATAGTAATTAAATCTACAGTATCGGTCATATCTATAGCACGCCATTTCAAAGTGATATTGTGTGCCACTTATGTTTATTTATTTATTTTTAAGAATTTTCAATTAAAATACAGTTCTTTCTCTAACAAAACTCATATAAACCAATGTTTAAAAATTTGCAGAAAACTACAAAAAAGTGCAACAAATTTTCACCTAAATTTCAAACTTTTTTCTCGGAAGTGTTTGAATTTTTCTGAATACACAGTTTTATGGCTCAATCAATTTTAGTCTGATAATGTGCAAGTTTCAAGTGGCTAAAAGTTACCGTTGATTTTTTAGAATTTTTTTCGCCAAAGGTGTTGCGGTTTTCTTTCTTAAATTGAGTTTATTCATTATATGGAAGCCAATGCGACAAAAAAAATTCTAAAAAATTAACGGTAATTCGTAGTCTTCAACGGTTGGGCGCTAGTGCTGCATTTTACTAAAGCCAGCCTTTTGAAATAAGCTACTACTTACTATTCCATACGAACGCAGATATATGTATATGCAAAAATAAGAATGGTATGTCTCAACGATTTGTTTAAAATTTTATTAAAGTTGAATCATCGGTGACCATCGTTGTCGATGAGACCTTTCCATCGGCTAATTCCGCTTCCATTACTCTTCAATCTCCTTTACACGAGTCTCCTTCTGCTACTACGTCGTGTTTTGTGTTACCAGTAACTACTTGTATTGAGGTTGCACATTATGGTTCTGCCACTTCTGCTTCTGTATATTCTGATGATGCGGCTCCAGGTACCCCCACTTCTGTAAATCGCTCAGCAACTATATCTTCGCATGGTGTCGTGCCCAATGTTGTGGTATCTTCTGGGGTTTCCTCGCCAACTGTTGAAGGGAAGTTGACCGTGGCAAAATTTTTGAATACTGTGATTAGCAAGGTGGATGCTCGTGAGAAAAGAGATGAGCAATTTATTCT